AATATTTCTTTTGTGTAGTTCTGGATGGGCAATTCGCTTACGACTATGTCTGTCTGTCTGCTTTTTGCTTCTCGAAAGAGACTGGGTTTCTTCTCGTACTTCCTGGGAGAAGCTCTCTCTCCTACTTCTCCAACAATATTAACATTTGAACCTACAATGAAAATGTTAGGTAAAAATTATTTTCTAATAAAAAAAGAACTCCTAACAAAACAAACTAAATGGCCCTAGCAAGTCTAATGCTAGGCCTAACACCAATGTAAACAATTGGTCCTAGGCCACATCAATAAAACTAAAAAATTCGTTTTATAAGCCTATTTATTTTTAGACAAATTGTACATATCATTAACTCCTGTTAATATAGATATAGGACTGATCCCTAATACTTGAATCTGCAATAAAAAAGCGCATGTCAGTTTTGAAAAAACTACAAGAGGAAAACCTAAACAACATTGGGTTAGAAACTATATTATTGTACGATAAACTCAATTAAAATTATATCTTGATGCTGTATTAATTATATACATACCTTTGCTAATATCATCTGCTTAAGAAGGGTTCTTATCTGCACCTAAACCATAACAACCGCTTTTCATTATAAAGTCTTCCAAACTTGAGCTGTTCATTTTTGCCATGTTTATTGTGGGATAGGCAACTTTTCAATTCAAATTTTATTTTTCTGTTAAAGTAAATATTATTATAGATAGCAGCACTGTTTGGGTGAATTTTTGGGTTCAGCACTTTTTCCACTACTAACTACATACTCAATGTATGGTTTGCAGTGATTATCTGAAAAATTTCAAAAATGTGGGTTAGACCACTTTTCCGCTGAGCCCTTTAATTGCCAGTTATACTTCATTGGCAAAAATTTGAAAAAAATGTTGATCTGTGGAGATTATTCTTCAAAGTTTCTTAAAAAAGAAGCTAGATTTTTCTAGTCGTTTTCTCGATAGTTTATTTTATTTAAACTTTTTGACAAGTAAATAAACTGTTTTAAATTGCTTTTTTTGGATTCTAGCACATTAAAAAAGGTTATATTTTTATTAATTTTTTTTTTATTTGATACTTGTTTTTATACTAATTTTTTTTTTTACAATTAAAAAAAACTTCACAATTAAAAAAAAACACTTTTTATTATTTTTTCGATATTTTTCTTGACGCCATTTTGTTACTCTGTTCAACCTACATAGTTATTTAGGATAAACTGACCTTTATCTGGGTGCGTCCTTATTATGGGCGATTTTCAAAAAAAACTTTAATGCAGGGTTGCATTGATTGGTTTAAAGTAAAAATATAATACTTAGACTTGATAATTTATAGTGCAGTTTGAAGTACTTATTGATTAGTTAACTGTTTTGAGAACATTTTTTAAAAATTTGATAAATATTAAATCCCGTAAACTCGATGTTTGGTATTTTCAACGTTTTCCTAATTACATTCGAACATTTTGCTTTTATAAATATTTTAAATTGTTACTAATATTATGATATACTGTTAAATTATGAAATACTGTTAAAACTGTGCATGCTTTTTTGCTTATTTTGTAAAACGTTCAAAATTTCTTTTTGTGTGTGTGTATTTTTCTATATACAATCTTATAACATACTTTCTAGCCATTATCCTATATCTGGCCATGATTGCCAATGCATGAAATGCATATTTTTTAAAATTATTCACTTAAAAACAGGTTGAACAAAATCGTAAGATACCATCAATAAAACTGAAAATTGTTTTAAAAGAGCAACGAAAAAATATCACTTGAATCTTTAAGAAGGAGAAGTTATGAGTTTAGACCCAAGTGTAGAAAGCCCCTGAATTCAAGTGTAGAAAGCCAAAGTTTATGCCTGCAATGATTAAAAAATGTCTTGTTTGGGCTAAGAAGTACTCCTCTTTTTCTCAAGATGACTAGAATAAGGTAAGTTTTCTATTAGTTTTCTCCTAAAACATAGCGGCGCGAGTAGGTGTCACGAGGGGGGGGGGTGTTATTACAACTTTGGCCGACTAAAAAAAAAAAAAAAGACCTCGTTTTTAAAAATTTGCCGACTGCAACGACGACATTTGCCGACTGCCTGTCGACTAATCTATTGACGTCTACATTTGCCGACTAATTAGTCAAAAAGGGTCAAATTTGCCGACTAAAAATCATTGATGGGGGTACCCCCCCTATCCCTACGGCCTTGTATATATATATATATATATATATATATATATATATATATATATATATATATATATATATATATATATATATATATATATATATATATATATATATATATATATGTATATATGTATATATATATATATATATATATATATATATATATATATATATATATATATATATATATATATATATATATATATATATATATATATATATATATATATATATATATATATATATATATATATATAGAGAGAGAGAGAGAGAGAGAGAGAGAGAATAACCAACTTAAATTACTTGATACATGTATACGATGTAATCATTGAAGACATTTATTTTTAGACAGTCATAAACATTTTATAATTAAATTTTCCTGGTGTTATTTTGCACTTTACTTTAAAATGAAAAATAATAATAAAACTAAAAAAACAGAAAGTTCAACGAAAATTGAAAAACAGAGAAGCAAACACAGAAAACACCGTTTATGGAATGATGAATCGATGGTATCAGCAATTAAAGCTGTTTCTTAAAAATGGAGATTCACAGCGAGCAGCATGTAAATAGAATATTGTAAAATGCCGAAGTTAAAAAAAAAAAAAAACTACTTTAGATGAAAAGAAATTAATAGAATTTGCATATAATTATTGGTTGATTGCAATTTTTATATTATGACTCCTACATAAAAATAGTGGCGTGGGATTTGCAAATTTAATGGAATGGGAAAAACATGCCCTAAGATTTTTACATATTTTCTTGGTATTTATAAATGTAAATAAATTTCTTCACTCTGACAGTTTGAAAAAGCTCTTTTTCTTTAAGTAAATTTTACGGTTTTAACAGAGTTTTTTGTACTCTTGGGCCAATTTTCTCCAAAATGGAAAAACGGGCTTAGTGTATATTTAAATTTTACCTAATATTTATAAATATAAAAGAGTTTGTTTGGTCTGACAGTTTGAAAAAGCCTTTTTTTTAACTAAAATTAAATTTTATTGTTTGTACAGAACTTTGATTGTTCTTGGCCCAATTGCCCTGAATGGGGGAAATAAGCCCTAAGAATTTTACGTATTTTCTTGATATTTATAAATGAGAATGAATTTGTTTACTCTGACTGTTTGAAAAAACTCTATTTCTTTATCTAAAGTTAATTTTTACGGTTTTGACAAAGCTTTTATAGCTTTTAAACCAATGCCTCAAATGGGGCAAACGAGCAGTGGAATCCATACCTAGGGATCCCTAATATGAGAATGATAATTTGTAGAATTTAATACTTTGATTCTTTAGTAAAAAAAAAAAATAATTCAGCATAAGTGCTTCAATGAAACTCCTTCTCATTGACAGCATTTGAAAAAAAAAAAAATATTATCAATATTTGGTACGATAAATCTTTAAGGAAAACTCAACAAATCTTGACGCAAAATAGGCGTTATTGAGCCCAACATAAATTGTCATAACTTGGGAACCAGTTATTCAAATTTAAAAAACGAACTCATGCTGAAAACGTCTTTATTTTCCGCATATTTTGGTATTAATTATAACAGGAGATAGTTATAATAGTAAAATCGTGTGAATTGCCTTTATATGGTGATAACAAGAATCAGTAAAGTTACCGTAAATTAATATGCAGTAATTAGCGGCTATCATCTAATTTTAACGCTGTTAAATTTTTTGCGTTGTTAAAATAATATCGTCACGCATAAATAAATCTGTAAGGCAAAATGGTGGTGCTAAAATAATAAAATTAATTTTTTTATGAAGAAAAATATGTTAGCTAAAAATCCAATCCATTTTTGTTTCAAAAACAATGTAAAGAAACATTTAATTTTGAATTTATTTAAAGATGCCGTTTTTGTGTAATTTGAAAGTTAGTGCAAATTACCCAGTGTTTTTCATTGAAACTACTTGGTTTAAATTCCTAAAATAGCAGTGGTTTTTGAATAAAAACAAAACTTTTTGAATAAAAACAAAACATAGTAAAAGATATGAATATTTTAACAATAATTAAAATTTTTATGTAATTTAAATTCAAAAAATCTTCAACAAAAAGTGGTTCAAAATTTGATCTTTTAATGATAAGTATTATTAATAACGTATCATTATTTTCCAAAAACTAGTTCTAATTGTCAGATTGGTATTTTTTTACTTAATTAATATTATTTTTTTTAGCTAATTTAAAGTGCTCATATTACCAAGGGGTCTGGGTAATATGAGCACTTTTGCTACTTTTTTAAAACCTCTGTATTTTTAAGAAAAAATTTCGGGAGGCCAAATTTCTAAATGGGTCATGAGTAGGGGTCCCTAAAAATTGTTTATTCGCCAAAATTTTGGATCCAGCTTAATTATTTTTGAAAATATTCCAATTTTCGCTTAAAGTGCTCATATGACCCTAATCTACCCTAGAAATATATATGCTACAATTAAAAAACTGTTTAACTTGTAAGTGCTTAAATTTTTGTAAATAATAAATATAATTTTTTTTTTTTTTTAAATACAGCTTAGCATATTTTACATACTGTATTACAAATACAACACCCATAATAAAACAAATATGATTTTATTAACACATTACAAAGTATTAAAACATAAATTAAAGAAATATAATTAAGAACATTTAAGAATAAGAAATAATATTATAAATTGAACAATTTACTTTCATAAAAATTGAAGTTTTAAACAATACTTTAAGAAATCAAGTTTCTTTAAAATAAGAAATCAAGTTAAAAAAGCTGCTGATTAAAACATCTTCTGAATATCGAAATCAGAAGAAAAAAATACAGTTATTCCATTTATTTTAATTATTAATTCTATTAACAAGAGTTATAATTAAAGTGTGATAAAACTACTTTGGTTGAGATGCCTCAATAACTGCTGAAGCTATGCAACTTTCAGCATCACATCCTTCAACTATCCACTTTTCAAGGAACGTGCAGCTTAGTTTATTTATTTGAATACTTATGTTTTCAAAACCAGTTTTTTCTAATGCATCCTTTAGTTCTTCTATTGACATAGCACCTGCTATACAACCAGCATAGAGTGCTAAATTGTTTTTTATTTCATTTGGAATAGGATTAATAGCTACTATATCGGAAATAACTATTCTACCACCAGATTTTAATACTCTAGCAACTTCTTGAAAAACGCGAAGTTTATCGGTGGATAAGTTTACAACACAATTTGAGATAACTACATCAATGGTAGCATTTGCAACAGGCAAATATTCAATCTCACCCAAGCGAAATTCTACATTTGAATACCCTCCTTTTTTAGCATTAAGACGAGATTTGCTTATCATTGCTGGAGTCATATCTATTCCGATAACGTGACCTGAGCTACCCACTTTTTTGGCTGCTAAAAAACAATCAAATCCTCCACCACTTCCTAAATCAAGAACAAAATCACCTACTTTTAAATTAGCTATTGCAGTAGGATTGCCACAACCTAGACCCATATTTGCTCCTGTTGGAACGCTTGTAGCTTCTTCTTTAGAGTATCCTAACTGAAGTGAATAATCTATGTCAGTTTCAGCCGGTGCACCACAGCAACTTGCAACGTTACCATAACTTTTACCTGCCGTATTAGCTTCAGCGACGTTTCCATAAATGTAGCGAACGGCTTCTTTAATTTCGACATCTTTTTCTACACAATTATTAGTACTCATACCAGTATTATTCTTTTAAAAAAAATTTAATATTTCTTTGTTAAAATAATGAAAACTCTAAAGTGCTCTGATTACATAAGTATTTAATTTTCTTGAATAAATAAGTGCAATTTTATTTACGTAAAACAGTGATTTTCCGATTGTCAAAACAAATTAAAATTTTAGCTTACCTACTTTAGTTCACTTTGCTTGTAACAACATAACAAATTAGAAAAGGGGGTTGGGGGAAGTTGCATGACTCTCCCATCTCCCTTTTATTTGTTCAAGAGAGTTTTTTGATAGATGGTATTTTTTAGTATTGCTTTAGATAGATTAGGTTTTTTCAGTGCTTTCCCCCCCCCTCCCTCATCTCCGCAGCAATAAAATGACAGTGCTGTGGTTCATTTATAAATAAATATTGAAGTTAAAAACAATATAATTGACAACTTGTTTTAAACCACAGAAAAAAATCCAACTTATTGTAAAAAAACAAAACAAATGAATGCGTAAACATAACGTAGCAAAACTAATATTAAATTTTGTGAAATGAAATATAAAATATGCTAGATATTATAAAAAAGAATTGAATTAAATTATTTCAAAACTAATTTCTAAAAACCTAAGATTTGCATGAAGAAAGAAGTGAATTTTAATAAAAATACGTTTTATTAATTAAAGAAACCTTATTAAATAGAGCTACGCATATATGCGTAGCTCTATTTAGTTTTTACGTATCTTTACAAATTACGTTTTATCAGCTGTGGCATAATAAATAAAGCACTTGTTCTATTTAATTTATACATAAACGTATCTTTACAAATAACGTTTTATCAGCTGTGGCGCAATAAATAAAGCGCTTGCTTCAGAATCAAGACATTTAATACTGGTGTCTGGAAGGCCATCCATAAATGATGTCAGTAAATAAAGGGGGAGGGGGTACTGAAAAGTTTGATAAGATTAGACAATATTGAGACCAAAATGATGGCGTGTTGAGACCAAAATGATGTTGATTTAAGAAATATATATATATATATATATATATATATATATATATATATATATATATATATATATATATATATATATATATATATATATATATATATATATATATATATATATATATATAAGTTTATACGAGCAGATTTTAAAGGTATTTACATCTACAATGTGGTATAGAAATAGCATATTTGCTTTGCGGGGAATTCAATGTAAGTTTCCCAGACACATGTAATATATTTAAAATTTACCAAAGTTTTATTATTGAATTACCATTTGACTGAAATTCTAATTGTTGACAAATATCAAGAATTTGTATATAAATTTAACAATTATTATTCGATCCCTAGCCGATTATAAAATGTGCTTCAAAGCAAACACATAAAGTTATTTGTCATTTTTTTAAAATACAATTGTCATTATTATCGAAGATTACTTCAAGAACTCGTGGGAAGATAATGAGTGATTGAATTTATATTATGGATACAGAATAAAATTTTGATTAGTAAAAGTTTGATTAGATTTATTATTTGATGAGGTATCAGGTGGTTTATAATATAACTTGCTGAGATCTACTACTATATTAAAGTAAAATTTAACCAGAAAAAAAATCAATAATGTTCATACATATTTTTAATGTTACTTTAGGGAGGGGGGGGGTACAAAAGCTGACATTATGTATAGAGGGAAGGGGTTGGCCAAAAATTTACAATTTGAAAAAGGGGGGAGGGGATCAAAAATTGAGAAAAATTACTGACATCATTTATGGACAGCCCCTGTTGAGAAATACAAAATATGACCATAATAACTGCAATATTGGTAAATAAAATAATACGAGCTACTTAGTTAAATGCTCTTCCACAGTGCTCTGCGCTAATAGCAACAGTTTCGTTGGTTTTTTTGATGCACTTTTATAATAATAATAAAAAATAATAACAGCAACAAAAAAAAACATGGCGCTCTATACTGAAGGCCTATTCATCGCGCAACCGTAAGCCGTGACTGGGGGCCTATTATTTTTACGGATTATTAGCAACTCAGCTATAAAATTATATTTTGGAGTCAAAATAAGACTGTTAAAGAGTTTAATTAGTTTATTTAGAAATGTTTATATTAAAATGTAATAAAAAGTTAAAATTTAAAATAAAATAAAAAAATTAAAACAAAGAAAATATTTGCATATATTTTAACAACGACATATACAAAGCATTATTTTCTAAAAAAATTTATAACTTTAAAACTTTTAATGCAGGTTCTTTATTAGATCTTGGTGTGGTTTGTGCACAAAAATTATTTAAAAATATATTAGCAAGTGTGTTGCAATGTTTTTGATTAATTTCAAAATAGTAAAATTCAGAAACCAGCAGAAAAATATCACTTAAGGATTTACGACAAACTTTATCTTTTATTGAATGGAATAAGGCAATGCAAAAAAAAAAATTGTCTGGTGGAATTTTAAGACCACCGCGATCTATAGACTTGAGGTACTTGCCAAATTTTTCATAATAAAATAATGTTTGGTTGAACAATACCATAGCAAGTATGGTGAATTGATTTTGCAGTATCATTAGATAACTGCTTTACTCTTTTGCCATTTTTACAACACATTTAGAGAGCCATATCACCAAACTGAAGTAAAGTATTAAGACGGCAATCATCAAGACTACAAATAGGTGCTTCTAGTGGATCATTGTGTCTTACATCAGCTCCACAATCTTTCACATTTAAAATTTTCCACCAGGTTATTACTTAATTTATAAATATTGCAGTATCCTTAGAATTTAAAATTATTTGAGAATAGGTAAGCAATGCATGATATGTCTTATCTGAAAAAACTTTAAGACAAGTAGATACATTTTGCCTTTCAATCGGCTTGGGAGCTATTGCGATTTCATTTAAGTCTGACAATTTGACTAACTTTCCTGATTCTAATTGATATAAGCATTTAAGGTGCTCCAATTTAGCTGTTCTTTGAATACCATTATCACTGTACACTAGTTCCACAGTTTTTTCTGTAAGCCATAGTTTCCTAATGTTTTTCAAAAAATGAACAAAGTCAAACAGAAAATACATCTTTACATCTTCTGTTTTCCAAGGTTTTTCTGGAATAATACGATATAATTTTAAAAATGCTTGGCTTACACGATTACCATCACAGATAACAACTTTTACATCGCCAGATGATGATTTTATAAGTTTTATGCTAGAATTTATTTGTTGAAACAGAAAATTTGAACTTAATTTTGAAATTGGAATCATCTTATAGAAAAATTTTGAAAAAAAAAACAACATACTATCATAATTCCCAACTCAGTTTTAGCCAATAATAATGGATCATCTGAAGATTTACCAAACAATGTTCCACTTGGTAAAGCATCATTTTTTTGACATATACTTCATCATGAATAATTATACAAATTTTTTGTTTTTCTTCAATATTTTTGAAAACTAATAATTTTGAGTCTAAGAAACTAGCATCATCAATTTTGCAAACTTTTGATGTTATTTGTGTCAAAGTACTAGCTGATGGCAATTGAAAATCGTTTCTTAGTTTATTGTATAAAGAACGAGATCTTGAAAAATATTCAAAGCTACGTATGATTGTATCTGATTCATATACTTTTTTTCCAATAAGCTTTGCAGACATAACTGATATTTGTTGCTGAATGTTTTTTTTATGATCTATTTCTATGACATTTAAAAAATGTAGTATTTCATCAAACTTTGACCAGGTAGCAACAATATTTATACGATTTTTACACAAACATTATTCAAAACATTTTATTTCACAATAAAATGTTCCAAAATGTAAACTCTCAAAAATTTTAACAAGAAATAAAGGAGCACCATCATAAAATGTTATAGATTGAACATTTACTGTTTTTTCAATCATATTTGTTATTACTAAAATTGAAAAAACCTTGAGATTATTTTTTAAAATCAATATATGTTGCTGTATCAGCCAATAAAAAAGTGCTAAGTTCATCAGTTCTGACATTTCTAACAATGCTCAAAGATTTCTGTATTGTGCGATGAGGTAGTAATGGAGTGGGTATTTGACTTGAAGGTATTCCTGGCCAAACAGATGGTGGCATTTTTGGTCTTTGATTTTCTTGAACAGTAACTTTTTTAAAAATTGTTGGCCAATGTGATTGGCAAATAGCAGTTTCATCTGAAACTAAAAAATTAGAATTCGGAATACTTTTTATCCAAATATTTCTTTGTTCTTTATCTTTAGGAAAACGGTAAACTGGTATTTTTTTAAAGCTTTTATTGTTTTTGGTACTTTGATAATTAGTTTTGCAGCCATATACACAACACTTTTTTGGCATCTATAAAGTATAATTATTTAAAAGAATATAAAAATATGGAAACCATAACATAAACTTTTCAAACACTTTTTTTGCCAAATATAAAAATTAAATATAATAAATCACTACCCATATCAGTCATAATAAATGTATATATATATATATATATATATATATATATATATATATATATATATATATATATATATATATATATATATATATATATATATATATATATTTTTTTTTTTTTTGGCGACTTGATGAGTTATAAAGATATTATTAAAGTTATATATATATATATATATATATATATATATATATATATATATATATATATATATATATATATATATATTTGGCGACTTGATGAATTATAAAGACAAAATAGTAATATGTTACAATGTTGTTAATTATAAAAAGACGAATGAGTTAAATATAGTTAAGCTTACAATTCAGTTTTTTTGTGAGAAACAACAGTAATTTAGTAAACTATATGTAACTTTACTAAACTTTAGTTCTTTATTAATTGCCAGAACTTTTTTGTCCAAACACTTGTACAAAGCTGTGTTAAGTATTTATTTATTTTAATGTCAAAAAAATATAATTTTAAAACATTGATAATTTTTTATTTTAACCTATATCGATAAAAGCATTTCAGAAAAAATTTATTTAAAACATTTCATAAATAATTTTATCACACTGTAATGT